GATGTGGGGATTTATATTTTTATCATTATTTTTGTATTTTTTTTTTTGGTTGAGAAGAGCTCATCATCATCTGTGAGCAGAGATCGGGACCCCGTTAAATAGGACCACACACGCCTACGCGTCAGTGCGCTAAGCCCCAAGGCAGGTGCCCCAAGTAAGGTTTCAACAAAAGTTTGTGGTAAATATTATTGAGGAGGCGTCCCCGAAATATTTTTGGATCAAGAAGTATAATGCAATGAAGCTGAGTCAATTTATGAATCAGTCAGAAAAGTAGGCTGTGAACTCTTTAATGAAGGATTGAAGTTTGGAGATTTCTTTTTTTTTCAAGTGACCATGAAACAGTTGTTTTCATTCTCCAGAACTTTTTGGGTTGATACAATTTTTGGCAATCACAGGATGCAACAGATGTGGCATTCTGATGCAATTGGTTGATTTGCATTGGAAAATTCATGGGAATTTGCATAACATGGTTGAAAAATACCTCTTCACAGGAAATATAATTCTGGATGCCATAATAAAAAATGTAAAAAAATTGATTTTGATTCTGGTGACCTCTAAAATCTTGGTTTTACAAACAATGTTGGTTCTTTTCAAACATGGGTTGACTTATTGTTAATGGACAAAGTCAGTTATCAGAATGAGCTACAAATCAAAACTGTACATGAAATGGACCTTGGGATACTGCAATGCAGTGTGGTGATAGAAATGTGACCCCCAGTGACATCTACCCATGTTGAAACAAGTTGGTATTGCAGTGGACAAGTAATTTAAATGCGCCTAAATTTCAGTCATATTCTCATGAATAATGCCTACTGAATTTACTGGTAAAAGCACTTGACAATCACTTGCTTGGAATTATACTGGAATACCTTTCTAATCATTCATTTCAAAAGTATGTCACAATAAGGTATGTTGACACTGACTGTGTACATCACTTGGACCTCATTTGACCAAGTTTGTAAATAAAGGAGATGTTTTTTGTATAATGTAACTTATCTCCCAGACTTTGCTTTGAAATCTTGATTGCTGTGTCCTCTTTGAACTTGGCTACTTGGTTTTCAAAATTTGCATGGATTGCTGGATGCCAGAGGGAGAAACACTTTCCAGACACTCTTGCCCTGAGGGGGTCAGAAATGCGGGTCAGACAAGCAGCCGAATCGGGCTTTTGTTATTCCCAGCTCCTCTCATTACTTTCATCCTCCTTATTTGCCGAACCCAAGGCATTGCCTCCGGAATTAGAGACGGGGGCAAAATTGCTGCGAGAAGGTTTCTGCCAAATTAAGGACACCTTTTCGCCCTTGGCCAAAGTCCCCTGATGACTGCAATTTGTGCTCGAAATCTTATGCTAATTCCGGCACCCCCCGAGGGGATGAGAGAAAATCTCTTGGGTTTTCCCGTTTCCGGTTTGGAACAGGATAAGAAAATGAAGAAAAAGATGCTGGAAAGAGACAAGCCAGTGAAATATGGAACAATGTGGGGTTCTCTGGATTTTTATGGACATTTTTTTTAGTTTGCCCTAGGAATCCTTGATTCATCTGTGACAGTTGGAAGATTATTTCAGAGAGGAAGAGGGCAATAAAAAGTGTCAAGAGATTTCCTTTGTGTGTCGTAGGTTCTTCTGTTGTTCTTATTCTTATTCCGTTTTTTTTTGCGGGGGAAAAAGAAAAAGAAACAAATGGTTCAGTGCTGGGTTTGGATTTACGGCTTGCGCTGGAAATCTGTCTCCTTCCAGTAAAAACAACTGGACTCTTGCAGTATGGATGACCTGGCTTCATTCTGGGTCTCCCAAAAAGTTTCCTCACTATTTTCAATATTCTCAAGAAGCCCATTTGTGCATGCTAAAAGCAATTAGACACCGCAGTTGCTGCATTTCAACCCATGTTTTTAAATTTCTAAGAAAAATACCTCACCTTGGAAGTCCAAATTAGCAATTTAAGCACATCGATGACTGCCAGTGACATCTACGTACCCAAAAGTAAGACGTCATTAGAGTGGACAATGTATTTCCGCGAAATTGAACTTCATCACTTTACAGATGACAGGATTTGGGATTTTACAGTGTGATGTGTTGACATTTAATCTTTTCAAAATATGTTTACCAGTTGCTGAACTGGATTACAAATTCATCATTTTGCAATGACTTGAAGAACTTTTGCAGTATGGATGACCTGGTTTCATTCTGGATCTCTCAAAAAGTTTCCTCTTTATTCTCAATGCTCCAGAAGCACATTTCTACGCTTTATTGGTCTCTCCCACTAACAATAATGCATGCTAAGAACAATTAGGCATCAAAGTGGACGGAGGTGAATCCATTTTTCTGAATATCTTTTAAAATATCACATCCAGGAAGTCAAAGTGAAGAAATAAAGCACCTTGGTGACCAACAGTGACATCTATGCATCCTCAAGTAAGATGCCATCAAAGTGGACAAATTAGAAAAATACATTTCTGCACAATTAAACCTCATTACTTCACAGATAATAAAATTTGGGATTTTACAGTGTAATGTTTTGACATATACCCTGTTTCAAAACATGTTGGCTTGATAGCAAACCACTGCCCAACTGGATTACAAATTAAATGCTTTAGAGATGAAGCATAAAATTACTGCTCTGTTTAATTTTACCAGATTTAATTAATTTTTTCTGAAACAAAATGTTATAAAATTTGGATTCTATTTACATTTCATAATTTATTCAGTAGTCTAATATTTTTTTATTTTGACTGAAACTTTGGGGTAAAACTTGAAGGTGGAGTATATATTTGGGGAGTTTTTTTTGGGGGGGGGGGGTGAGCATAACAAAGAGCCTTACAAGTAGGAGGTGACAGAGCACACAGGAGCTGTGGGAGATGAGATAAGGATAAGTCAGTCATCCGGGATTTAGTGGATAAGATGGGCATTTGTTTTCCTTGCATCGGGGTCGCAGTGTCTTCCTTATAGTTGTTCTTTTCCCTCTATAGAAAGAATCCAGACAGATTTCTTTGTATATTTTCGTTGCAAAATTACGTTTTGGCCTTTTTTTGGAATTTTGAAGGAAGTCGACTTGCGAGGACTCGACGATGTTTAGTAGAGAATTTCGGTTATTTATTTTTATTTTATTTTTTTCTGGGGTGTTAGATTGCTACTGTGTTTGGGAGAGGGAGAGAGTGTGTTGTCGTAAATAGTTGGGTCATCTGTCGTGGTGTTTCAGGTGTCAAGTGAGTTTGTTGCAGTTGTCTAGGGTTTCAGTTTGTTTTATCGTTCTGAAGTGAAAAATAGGCATGCTGTATACTTGTGTTCCGCTGAGGTTCTCCTGAGACACGTTTCGTAAAAGCGAGGTCATTTTCCTCATTTTATATTTTAAATGAAATCCGAGAGCTTGAAAATCGGTCAACTTTTTCCTTTTCGGGACATTCAGCATTTAGAAAAAAAAATGCATTGAACATTTTTAAATGGAAGCTTTTTTTCGGGTGAAAAGACTTCACTCTCAAATATTCTTCAAAACTCAAACTTGAATTTGATGTGGATTTCTCTAGTAAACGCTAGTTCGTCAAAAAATGATTATATTATATAAACTATTATATTATTATAACTAACGGAGGAACCTCGTTAAGTCGAACTTGAATGGACCTGCAGCAAACTAATTTTAGCAGAAAAAAATATTTTTTTGCCTGCAGATTATACCCTCAATTCTGAAAAATAAATAAATATATGTATATATTTGCAATACTTAATGATTTGATTTCAATTTTTCATTTGCTTCTGCCTGCAGATTACTCAATTGAAATAAATTACGAAAAAAATATGAATATACATATCTTTGATGCCTAATTTTAAATGTAATTTCAATTTTTCTCCATCAGATTACCCTCAATTAAAAAAGGAATGAAAATCCTGTATGTACAGTACTTGTTTATATTCACAGTCATTTTTGATGTGAGTTAAATTTTTCATCCATTTTGTCTACAGATTACCCCAAAATTCAAATAAATGAAAGATATATTTATTCATGTCTAGAGTGTAATTTTAAATTTGATATCCTTTTTTGGCAGCAGATTACTCGCAATTCAAATAAAAAAAAAATTAAAAATACATGTACTGTATTCACAGTACATTTTAATATGGTTTCAATTTGTTCATTTATTTTTGTCTGCAGATTACCCTAAAATTCAAATAAATGAAAAAGCATACATATTTATGTCTACAGTGTAATTTTAAATTTGATATCATATTTTGGCAGCAGATTACTCACAATTCAAATGAATATATAAAAATTCTGTATATATATATATATATTCACAGTACTTTCTAATGTGATTTCAATGTCTTCATTTATTTCTGTCTTCAGATTACCCCCAGTTGAAATAAATTAAGAAAAAAATAGATATGTTTGCAACGTAATTTCAAATTTCATCTCAATTTTTTTTTTTTGCCAGCAGATTACCCTTTAATTCGAATAAATACATTTAAAAATGTGCAAATGCATGTTCACAGTTTTATTTTTCAAAGATGACTTCAAATTCATTTTCAATTATTGTTTGCCTGCTGCTGCAGATTACCCCCGAGTGCGAATCGGACCCCGGAGCCCGTGGCGGGCCGAAGCCGGCACGGACGTGGAGCTCTGGTGCGAGGCGGACGCGAAGCCCCCCGTGGTCGGGGTTCGCTGGGCCCGACGCCGGGCCGACGGCCGTGAAACCCTCGTGTCCCACCAGGCCCGTCTCGGCCTCGACGCCGTCACCGTCGAAGACGCCGGCGCCTACGTGTGTCGCGCCGACAACGGACTCGGGCGCGGCGGCGAAGCCGTCGTGGACTTGGACGTCCTGCACGGGCCTGCCGTGTCCATTGGCGTCCCTGGCATCAGCACGAGTGGCGCCGGAGCCAATGGTGGTGGCGGCGGCGGTGGCAATAATGGGAGACCGCCGCGAGTCGTCCGACTCGCACCGCCGCAGCACCGCCGGCTGACGTCTCAGTCCAGGTTGGGCGGCGGTAGACGCTAGCTCACCGAGTTCCATGTCATGACATGACACCTGACTTAAGAGAAACACAGGTAATGTCAACCGAGGTTTCTTTCCAGTTGGGCTAGATGTCGCTGGAAATTCGCTACGTATTTTTCACGCCCCCAAAAAATTATAAATTAATTTTTTTAACGTCGAATTTCCTTTTAGAAAATAGTATTTTGGAACCGGAATTCCTGTAATTCAAAATCAAGTCTGGGGTCGAATCCAACTCAACAAAGACTGCAATTTAAATATATTTTCTGCTGAATCAATTTGATGTGAGAGTTTGAATTATTGTTGTTGTGGAAGTTGCTGGAAGTCTCGCGGGTTTTATTTAAAAAAAAAAAAAACATAAATCATTCAAGATCTTGAATTTCCTCCTGTTGAATAGTGTTTAAAAAATGGAAATGATTCAACATAAAAAAGGGGAGGACTTTTGAATCAAAACAGGATTCAATGTTGAATCAATCCAATGTTTTTCTGCTGAATCAGTTTGAAATGGAAGGGTGATTTTTTTTAGAAGTATGGGAGCTTTTTTTTTTTTAAAGAATATAGAAAGTCTGAATTCCGTCAGTAATTGAAAGCTTTCCTCTGTTTGTTTTTTTTCTATTGCATGGTTTGCGTGGATTTTCCAGGCATAGAATAAGTCTTTTTCTCCTCATTTTTCAAACCGTCCATTTGATACTACATATTCGAGTATTTTTCTTGACCTCTATACCCCTCGCTTTTTAGAGTGAAAAATGATCCTGTGCAGTCATTCAATGTTATGTTTTGATTGAAATTGATTGTCTTTTTCCTATATTCAGGTCGGAGATACTGGGTTTAGACAACAGGGAAGAAGATTGGCATTGGAAGGAGTGGATGCCAGGCATGGTGGGACTTATTTTTGCAGAGCTGCAGTTGCCATGGATGTTGGAGGCCCTGTTTTGGTCATCAGAGAAGGAAATGCTTCAATTGAGGTGAGTTTGTTATTTATAAAAAGTTGCAGAGATGGTATATTGTCCACCAGAAACATTCAGAAAGGGGTTCAACAGTGTGGTCATAAAGCAAGAAAAACTGTGGCAGTATCTAAAGAATTGCCAAGATCATAAAAAGCAGACTTTTCAATCATGTGATGAAGCTTTGACAGCCTCAAGTTTCAAATTGTTCACCATTATTGTAATTTAGTGCACTTTCAGAAAGTCTCTGCAAAGTTATGAAAAGTTTAAACCATGGTCAGGAAATGGCACTCTATAGCAAAATAATTATGTGGTTTGAACTGAACCATTAAATAGCATATGTTTTGATTATTGTTAGTCTTTTCAGTAAGATTATTTGAGGTAAATGTGTGTGAAAAATCCAACAGGTGGTTGTGCAACATGCCCCAGGCCAGGCCAAGATCAGCTTGTCATCCCAGTTTGCAGTGGCTGGCCAGCCTGTGACACTCACCTGTCACTCTGACCCTCCAGGATGGCCCACACCAGTGTTTGAGTGGTGGAGAGTGCCTGCACCTAGTGCTGAATCAGAGCCTGCTCAGAAACCCTCAGTCTTGGCATCTCTAGGGGAAATGCATGGCACCAACAGTGAAGAAGATGATGACATTGACAATGGCAATCTCCCATCCACTGCTGAAGTGTTGTCTGTGAGGGAGAACTTGACCCTGCCTGCTGTGTCTGAGCAGGATGAAGCTGTGTACAAGTGCAGGCCGCATAACAGAGTGGGCTCAGGGAAAACTGCCAGCTTTTTCCTCAAGGTGGCGCATCCACCAGTGATTGCCAGGGAACTGCATCCAACTGCTGTTGGCTATGTTGACAGGTACAGTGCTATAATATGAAGATCATCCCACCATATATCTAAAAAAAA